ATGAACACTAGAGAACAGTTTTAATGTTCACGATCAAGAATAACAATGTTACTAAATACTTGCGCAGAATAAAGTCACAATATCACTAAAGTTAACGTTTTTTCGTGATAGCAAAATTATAATTGCCTAAATGATAAAGTTAAAGAGCTGAAGCTATTATTATTTAAATATAATAATAATAATAATAATAAATATTAAATATTAATGCCAGTTCTACATAATTATTTTACAATACCATCATTTTTTGTTTAAATTTAAATAGTCGTCAAAAATGTTTGTAATATATTTTGTGTTATTATTGTACAATATCTGCCAGTTTTTTTTTTAAAATATTTTTAGTCATTTTTTTACAGTAGTTTGATGTCATTTTTTCATAAGTTAGTCTATCAATTTTGTTATTTAAATAGTCGTCATAAATGTTTGTAAAATATGTTTTTATCATTTCGTAATATTTGTTTTTGCTAATTTTATGTGTGTTAAGCCCTCTTATTGTTATATATGTATCAGTTTGTATTTTCAAATTCAATACATGTAAAAACAAAAATATATTAGGATGCACTTAAGTGAATTATGTATTAAGTTTAGAATGAAATGATTCGCAACACTTAGTTGTTCGTTACGATGATATTGAAGATGATGCTCATATTTTTGGATGTTTTATCAATGTGATTATCACAGAAATAGTCACATAATTTGTTTAGCTTCTCATCATCCGGAACGATTGACATAAAATCTTCAATGAAGCTTTCATTTACTTGTTCTGGATTTAAAAAAGGCAAACCGAATATCCATTTTAACCACTGTCCAATTTTACTGTTGACATATTTGTATTATAAACCTATAATCATTGTTATGCTTATTGTCTTGCTGATATAGCCTTATGAATGTTTTATTTTATTGATTGTTATATACATGTGTATTATGTATAATATGTCATAAATGGCCATCTACATAATGAAACAAAATATTTAGTCTTATTATTTTAAAAACAAAATTTGAAAATTCTAATTTCATTCCTGTAACATTTTCTAAATATTTAGTTTCATCAAGTATTACTAGTAAATGATGTAGATAAATATATAAATAAAAAATGTATACATAAAAATAAAATAAATAAATGAATCAATGCGTCGTCTGGAGTATTATAAGTGGTATTATACGACTGGTTTTGAATTAATAATTCATCATCAAAATGTAAAACGCGACTGAATATAAAAGAAATGAAGGAAAAAAAATAGACAAAAAAAAAATTACAAATTGGTCACATTGATTCATTTATTTATTTTATTTTTATATCTAAATTTTTTATTTATATATTTATTTACTTTATTTATTTACGAGTATTAACCGTTTTAATAATTTTGTTTTTACTTTATTATTTTATTATTTATTATTAGTAATTTCCATAGTTTTGTATACACCAACTTTGAGTCAGATGAAATCTACATTCAATGATTCTAATTTGTGGCCATATACATTTCGGTCCAAAATGTATTGTATACGTTCTTCAAAATCAGCAATAAATGTAAATTTTGGGTTGAGCATTTTTCTACAATACATCTAAATGCGCTAGCGTATGTAGTTGTACATTTATCCAGCAGTAAAAAATACGATAATGGAACATAATGTTCATTTTTAAAAACGTGAACAATAAGTAGTAGATATAAATATTTTAGGCAACTATAAAATGTACCATGTACAAATATTTTATCACTTGAGCACAGTGATTTTAAATTCGAAGTTGTAGAGTATAATATAATATTATTTACCGGGTCAACGTCAAATAAAAAATCTTCGTTCTCAACAGTTTTTTATTTTTCAATTTTTCATTATTTCAATAACATTGTAAATATTATTTGGTAAAGTTGGATATGCAGATCAACGAGATCGGTACAAACATTGATATATATATATTGTTTATGTCAGTGCTCGTCAATAATTTGTATTTAACAGGATTACTTAAAATTGTTTTGTTTATAATTATTGATTGTTTTTCTAATAATTCATCTTTACATTTTCGTTTCAATTTTTTAGATAATATTTTTTCGTTTCTTATAGATTCGGGTTCTTCTTCGTTCTTTTTCTTGCGCACTTTCATTTTTTACAATTGTCTTCATGTCCATGATCAATATAAATTTTTGCAGTGCACTTTTTATTGATACATTGCTATTTATGCGAATCTAAGAATTTTACAAAAGCTTTATTATAAAATTTAAAATTTTGTATAATATCAATTGATTTTTCCGTTCACTAACAATTAATTCAAAATTTTTACACGGTGTAACATAAAATCTACATAAGATTACAACCGTTACTAATTGTCTATTCATTTTAAACGAGACCCTAATGGAAAAAGTAGACTTTTATTTCTGGTTTCCAGTACGATATGAAACCAATGTGATAATATGTGATTCCCATCGTCCAGTGTAATAAATACCTTTATATATGTATATATAAATATATATATATATATATATATATATATATAATAATAATATCTATATTGCTCGATTTGTCTATATTCATATTAAATATTTGATTCTATATGTCTGCAGTACAGTTTACTGTGTGTATACATTTCTTCTCTAATTTATTGAACAAAATTTAGTGTTCTATAGAAAACTTATGGGGAAATTGAAAAATTACCTCCCTAAAAGTACTATCCTAGTCAGATTTTCTTTCAGAAAAATGTGCTATAATTTTAAATCGAAGTGAAATTGTTGGTAGAAAAGCTGTAAAAGGTCATAATATTTTTTACTAATACCTACATTTCGTACATTTTCCGTTTTTCCGATATTGTATCCCGGTTTTTCCTAGATATTATGAAAACCGATTTGATATTAAAATTCCTTTACACAAAAGATACTATATTAAACTCAAATTTGTATTTTACCACGAAGTTAGACTTTTAATGAACCTCTTGATAAATGTTCACGCATTTCTGTTTAATTTAACAATTTTACCATACAATACCTACCGAATAAAAACTGCGTAAAAAACTCGCAATATTAAAATATCTATAAATACTTAGCTCAACAATGGCTTATATTTCTTGAACATTTTACCACGGCTAAAAAAGATAAATTTAAGTTTTCTGTTCAAATCTCAAGTTTCTATATTTTTAACTAAATTACAAAGAATTACAAAATTGAAAAAAAAAAAACATTTTCGTAAATTTACCGTTTTCTTACGTTTTATCCCGGTTTTTCCAAGATATTATGAAAATCGCCCGAAAAATTTAAAAATAATTTTCTAAAAGTACCAATTGGACAATATTTCCTTTCAGGAATGGTACCACGCATACATATCGGGGCAAGATTTCTAGTTGAACTTTTGTATACAGTATAAAAAAAAAAAAACAAAAAACATCTATGTAAAACCAACACATTCTTGGTTACACTCAGAACCTAAAACGAATAACAACAAAAACCAACTGTCGCGGACCGGATGCCATTATAATTTCTTTCAAACTCTATTACTTTTTTTAGGTACAGGAGAATAGGTATAATTTAATATAATGTAGAATTATAAATATCATAAAGTTATATTCAATTTAAGATAGCCATCATCAATTTAATACATTCTACTTTTAAGAAATTTAGAATTTATTAATCATTTTAAACTTATCAAATATCAAAGAATGTGCATATTTTTATTTTCATCTATATTATCTGTATTTTAAACAGATTTCGAATAATTTGTTTAAGTAATTAAATAATTTCAATATTAAAAGTATTAAAATAGTAAACAAAGTAATATATATTTTGTAAAAAAATAAATGTTTGTGGTCCGTCGATCCGCTTTGGTCTAATATTAGGAAAAAAAACATCGGTCTGGTCCGATGTGATCTTAATTCAATTAATATCGGTTCAATTCGGTCTTGCAACTGTTTAAAAAAATAAAATGGTCTGGTTTGCTCAACATATTTTAACAACAGAAATCGGTTTAGTTAATTGTCTGTAGGTAGTACATGATAATGTATGAACTTTAGTGACGAGCTTAATTATCTTATTTTTTAATGTTATCCAATATTCTAATTAGTTGTAAAAATAAAAATAAAATATTTTAATTACATCTCCATTGTTATTATTTGTTTCCACGTAACTGAATAATTATTTTACTTATGATAACTAACAGAAGAATGATTATGATACATTTCGCAAGTTAAAATAACAAAATTTATCTACTTAGTTATATTTAATATTTTTAAGTAGTACCATATTATTTATTTTTATTTAATATTCTTTCTAACTTAGAAGGTACTTCTACTTTTAATTTTATACTTTTTACCGCTTCCAGTCATCCATAGATAACTTAGAATTTCTAAGATGACTGGAAGAAGTAAAAACATTTATATTTAATAGGTACCTAATTTCACACTACAGTTCTTGTCAAATGATTACAAAAAGATATGTTTAATAATATGAAAATGTACAGTAATCTGTAATATTACTAAATAACATAAATATGATCAATAAATTAACAGTTTCTAAAGATTTCTTGGACTTAAATATTTCCAATAATTCATTATGATCTACTTAAAAATCTGATAATGGAAAGCAGTCATTAAAATGTTGTCTTGTTTGTTTATATTTAAATTATAATTATAATTATTATCATTAATGTATTCTATTGATGTAACATTACATATCATAATGTATGCATAGATATTGATTTTAAAGTATTCTATACTTGTAGAGAAAATAAGTAATAATAACTAATAAGTAACAATTGAGTAATAATAAAGTAATAATTAATTAATTAATTATTTATTAATTGGATTCGTTTTTCGTCGAATTTCAATATCAAATTTCGACGAAAAAAAAATACTTAACTAAACTCAACTATTTCTTGTTGACCACTTAGTATAACTGAAAATGAACCTCCTGTTGAATTTTTAAGCATTTATGTTTGGTTTAACAATCATATACATAGAGTAGGTACCTAATAAAATTACGCAAAAAACTCACTTAATTAAAATATCTATAAATAGCTGAAAAATGGCTCAGATGGTTAAACAATTTTACCAAGTATAATGTCCAAGTTAAATACAAGTTTTCTGCACACATTAAAGTCTCTACGAACATTTTGAACTGAATTTCAACAAAAATAATAAAATTTAAAACAATAAAAGCATTATTTTCGTAAATTTGTCTAAGTTTTTTTTTTTCTCGATTTTTCCCAATTATTATGTAAATCGCTTGAAAAATCAAGTACTCATTAAAGTACTCACCGGGTACAATTTATTTTCAGAAAAAGCGCTACACTTGATCAAGATTTCTAGGTAGAATTTTCGTAAAAAAAAAAAATAATAATAATAATAATAAAAAAAATTATTGTTTATCCGGTACAATCTTCGGCGCGCTTAGAATCTAAAAACTATTGCATTACTTTCAACTTTTTCTACTTGAAACCTTTTAAGTAGTCGCCGTGTGCCCCGTACCATTCAAATAACTTTTTTCGCAAAGGACGCTCGTGAAGTACAATATATTATAATAAGATCGTAAGAGTGTACGCGTTATATCCCGTTCGCGCCTTTAGTGTTGGCGTGTCGCCGTCGGGGGCGGCGTGCCGCCCGGTCGCCGTCGCAGCCGTCGTCGGCGGCCACCGTCAGCAGGGGGCGCGCACGTATTATTACGTGTCTCCAGGCACGCCACGCGAAATGTTCGCCCGTTTAGTTGTCGAGGCGCTAACTCCGCTGGCCGATTGTCGATCCGATCAAACTTTTCCGCAGTCCCGCAGCAGCTTCCGTCGACCGTGTTCAAGCCGCTTATTATTTATCGAGTATTGTCGCCCGCCGTCATCCAGTCCGCCGCCCGCACGGACATCGTTTTCGACTGCACCGTTGACGTACCGCTTTCACCACGCTTATCTCACGCTTGATTTACGAATACTTCTTTGGTAACTATTACGCAACTCCACATACGTACGTTTCCCGTACAATAATTTCATAAAAATAAAAAATATGAACGAACAGTTCAAATTGTGTAACCAGTTTATATTTTGCCTATGAAAATGAACGAATAAATAAAAATGATTTTATCGGGTCAAGTACCCGAGTACAACAAGTTAACTTTTAAAAATCCCTGCGATTAACCTCGAATGATAAATGTAAAACGGACATTTTCGGCATTTCAAAGTTGGTGTGTTAACATTGTTTGATCGGAAACTTATTTTGGAATTGTATCGAAAATGATGGCTTATAAAAGTCATTGGTACAGGTTCACAAAAATATCAAATAGGAGACTTGAACGTTCATATAATTTTACTTACTTGACTTACTTACCTAACGCCATAAATATTTTTCAATTTACCTGTTATGTTATTTCCGGTTTTTCCCATTTGTTTTTAAAAACCCTTTGGATAATTAAAAAATGACAAATGGCATCAACTCGATAAACTTTCCTTTCAGAAAAGACGCCCTTGATACATCGGAGCATGTTTTCTTTTCGAAATGTTATTTTAGACAAAAAAAAAAAAACTCAAATTTCAGTAAAACCAATAGATTCAAGCTACGCTCCAAAATACAGAACACAAATATAAGTAAGTGGGCTATTAATTTGAAGACAAATTATATTTGATACAGACAGAAAATAAATAGCGATCTACCCGGCTTTACTTGTGTAATAAAAAAGTTTCTCCCCATCTCCGACAAATGGGTAATAAAATGCACGATAGAGAGTTTTTTCGGCCTATTTAAATAATGATAAAATTTACTTGACAGAGCTGTAGCGCATTTATTTGTATATTATTTACGGAAATGAGTAAATTGTGAGTAAATTATTTTGATGTTTCTCGTAAGGTTCAGCCAGCGCTTACGCCCGAAATTATTTTTTTTACAAAACATTTTCTCTACTTTTTATTAATATAATATGCATGTATTATAATATAAAAACCTTTCAGCAAAAATTCTCTAAATGATAGCAAAAACCGTATACCATTCGTTATGTTGTTTAGATCTAAGCGGATTAACAGACACGGATTTCTACTTTGTTTTTTAGTATTGGATTCCGATCTATTGGTTTTATTATTTTTTTTTTTGTAAAAAACCTATTTTACCAGAAATCTTGCTCCAATTGCAAAAATTACAAGATACCTTTTATGTCGAATTTAATATTCAGTTGTTATATTTCATCGTCATTTTTTTAAATTTTCTAAGGGGTTTTTTAACAATTGGGGAAAACCTAATAATATATTTATTATTTTATTAATAACTATTAATTAAAATTAGTGTTGCATTAAAAATTGAAAAAAAAAATCAAATAATTGTTAACTTGATTCTTGAAATAGGTAACTTCCCAGTTTTTTAAATTATATTCGTTAATTACATAATAATAGGAAACATTTTAAATTAAATTTTATATTTATATCAATAAATAAATAATTTTATATTTATGTGTCTTATCTTCGTTGTTACATTAAATAATTAAATATTTCCGCAAGTTTTCAAATGTAAATGCTCTTCGATTATCAGATAAGAGTATTGTACAATGAAAATTATCTCTCGACATATCTACTGAAGTGGTCGGAGCATATTTAAATTACGCAAAGTCGTTGCTTGAATAATCTTTAAAAAATTGATTCATACCCGAAATCTCATCTTCCCCCTGTAAAATGTTTGATATTTTCTCCAGAATTTTAAGACCTTTATTTTTTTCAAAAACTTTTTGTAGTTTTAAAATACTACTTTTTCTTGAGTTACTTTTAACAATTCGCCAATGGAAGGTTCTTCGTTTGTAATTTTACAACGACCATTTTAAGGACTTGTAAATTACTTTTGATATAAGCCAAGTTGTTTTACGCTACATATTCATTGGCAATTTTCACAGTAATAAATTGCGGCTTCGAGCCAACGCGTTAAAATAAGTTTTGGGGGTAATCTGATCCCCGGAGCTATCGATTTAAACAAAACAACACGGTATGTAGCTATACGAAGAATTGTTTTCATATTTGATATCAACTCGTCAACAGAATTGAATTGTCCACGAATTTCTTCGGCTATCCGGCGAAGTGCGTGTACACTGCAAGTGATGTGTATCATTTTGACATATAGATTTTGAGAATTGAACCGGCCTTCACCATGTAAGTAGCTGCGTCGGATAAGAATAGTAAAACGTTGTTGTACATAATATCTCTAGGCCATAAAATGCTCATTGCCTTATTAAAGACTTTACAAATAGTATTATGATTTTTTTTTTCGAACTCTTCTGTGTGCAGGAGAAATAAATGACCAAAATAATTTGACCAGAAAATTCCAACAATAACATTCACCACACATCGTCCGTATACATCACGTGTTTCGCCAACTGACACCCAAATTTGATTTTTTTCAATATTTATTCAATATATCCTTTTCGTAAGGTAGCTTCGAATGGAATACTTTACCCGTATATTTTTCTAAAAACGAACGAAATATTGTATTTGAAAGTTTATTAAACGGTATATTCGTGGCCACCATTGCGTCGCATAAATCCTAATTAAAATCTGTTTTGTTAGGTTGATTGGTTAAAAGCTGTTGTGGTTTCCTTTGAACTGCCGTTTGACACTTTTCGCGTGTTTTTCAGTTCGAATGCGTTGGCTTACGTTAAACTTGTTTTCAAAATTAATATTTAATTCGCAAATTTTATAAAATAATACAAACCCATCAATAGACATTATTATTCAGAACAAAGTTCAGACCTATAGTTTCTTAAACGCGCACTAGTGACTCGTTTTACTTCCCCCGTTTTCAGTATATTATTGTTTATGAAAAAATGTACACCAGCCAGCACGCACGCGAATACAACGGCGATGGATAAACAACGCGCACTGAACAAATATCGAAATTATTATTTAACTATTATCGGCCGCCAACCGTCCGAACTATGTTTATCGGAAATACCTTTATTTTCACAGAACGTTTTATAAATATATTATGTCATATAATTATCGTATCGCCCGCATCGCAACATAATTTATAATTTATATAATACGTTGCGATATGGGTAACGTGACCATAATTTTTTTTTCTTCAAAGCGGGACACCCGCACATTTTAATAAGAAAACTACATAATTTTGCGTAAAATAACATTAATTATTTACGTAAAAAAATGACAACAGAAAAACGCAGTTAATATATTAATCATAATAATAATAATAATAATGTATAATAGAGTACATTTTTCGGCTGGTTTTCTATATTTGTCGGATCCACAAATCTGCTTTAAAATTGCCTGTTTGGTTTTTATGTATGAATGGAACTCTTGACAAGATTTGTTTGTGTTAACCTTTGTTATAAGAATGGCTTTTAATACAGAGACTCCCAACTGAGTTTTTTAATGTCCATATTTGATTCATAAGACAGAACATTCTTTCAACTGGAGCGTCCCTGCCTGGTAGACACAAAATATATTCTACAATTGTAGAAAAATTGACGTGTGAGAGATCATTAGCATTGAGGTGAGATAAAATGAGCACTTGCGTTTGGGAATTTTAAAAAATAAATAATCTCGTAAAGTCGTAAAGAACGTCAACACATTCAGGTACAGCACGTGACAAGGCGACGGAACAACTAAGATAATAATAATATGTGTAGGTAGTCCGTTTGTCTATTTATTGCCAAATCCAGCAGTCGAGATGGCGGCAGCGATAACAACAATTAGCTACAATTAGGACAATTAGGTACTTATTTTTGTATCATTTTTATCTATGTAGACTATGGTTTTAGTGTTTTACAGTATATATATATATATATAGGGATACGTATATTGTATAAATTTATGATTGCGATTTGTGATCAATAAATACCTACTACAAATCGGCTTTTCTTACAACGAGACACTTAGCTTGAAATCGGGTCTGTCTCGCCCAAAGCGGGACGGTATGGTCACGTTAGATATGGGCCATAATATTTTCTGAAAAAAAATTTATTTTTCCAACGCGAAAATTCAAAGCAGTTATGAGTTGTTTATAGCAAATAGGTACATAAAACTGCATTACTATTTTCTTTTTTCGATCGGTCGAAATTTATGTAGTTTTTAATTTTTAAATTTGAATAAATAATTTGAAGTAATAAAAGTATGCAAATGATATAAGCCCCGAACCCTGGTCATATTATACTGCACAGATGGTAGGGGCACTGACTACGGAACTATGTAGTGCAATTTTGTCGTCGGTTTCTTATCATTTTAAGAATATTTGCTTGCATGTCTTGCACCAATGATAGTGGTGACAATCAATTTTAGTGCTTCGATGTGTTAACAATTATTTAAGATCCCATTGAAAAACCCCATCACCATATCCCAAGATAAAACAGCTTCCCTATCATTGTTGTCAATAGAAAATAAGATGCTTAGAAGTATTGATTGGTCAAATATGATAAAACAGTTTGTGAGGAAAACAAACAAGAAAAAAAAGATGTCCCGGGATAATGGGGACTTGTGCAGTCACTGTTATAAGTAATTTAATGTATCCCTGTAAGCAACGATAAACCATTGCTTACGAAAAAATGGTTCTGAACGGAATTCAATTGATAGAGATGCTTTGTCAATAATATATATACGCCATAGTATAGTAACATAATTAAATAGGCTTCATACATTTTCTTTAATAATATTTCTTTAATGTTGTTCTCCGGTTTTCCTATGTTTTTTCCCAGTTTTTCTAGTTTGCTGAGAAAATCGAATAATTACCTCTATAAAATTCCTCACTAGTGAAAGTTCATTTAAGAAACATTGCTACCAATAAAAATCTGAGCAAAATTAGGTAGAATAGTTGTGGATAGAAAAAAATAAGGCTGTAATATATTTTAACTAATACCTACATTTTTTATATTTTCTCGTTTTTTTTTCGGTTTTTCAAATTTGATGTAAAATCTCTTAAGAAAATCGAAAAATTACTTCTCTACCTCCCTAGTAGGATTTCTG